CCTACTTCCCGAAGAAGAAACTAGTGATGTCGAAGGCGTAGAGCTGAGGAAACGAGCAAGGCATTTATCGAAGTGCAAGGACGCGGTATGGTCTCGATGGACAAAAGAGTACATAAACGGACTGAGAGAACGGCACAATCTCAACAACAAGGGGAAAGAAGTAAGCGTTAAAGTAGGAGACGTAGTTTTGATCCAAAACGACGAACGGAATCGAGGAAAGTGGAATGTCGGTATCGTAGTTAAGCTTATAAAAGGAAAGGACGGTGTAGTAAGAGCTGCGAGACTCAGAGCAGGGAAGTCCTGTTTGGAACGCGCCATTCAGCAGTTAGCTCCGATGGAACTGACATGTGATAATCCGCCAGTAGGGCCAGAAGAGAAACAAGCAACCTTGAATGTGAAAGCGAGAGAGTTTCGACCGAAAAGACGAGCAGCTGCAGCCGCGGAGGAACGAATCAAAAGTATCGCTGAAGAAGATGAACTTGAACACTAATTGAACAGAACATACATTTGTTTCCTTCGGAATCAAATGGGGGGAGAGTGTAGATAATTTAAGACATTATTGACATTACAGATAGTTATTAAGACTTACATAAAGTATTGCGAACAGAAGAGCCCGCGGGCGCTAGGATCGGGGGCTCAGGTATGAGAGAAAAACAAAACAGTGAGAGATTTTGTAAATCAAATGTGAGAGTTTCAATGAATTTAAGTTTAAAATAAACAGTTTGTCGAGTAGAAATATACGTTTCCGACAACATTTCTTTAAATTATTAAAGGGATATTTTTGTTTATAGAAATGGGATACGGATTATTTTTAAATTTTTGCTAGGATTATGGATTATTCAGACCCCCCCCCCGCCCAACAAGGCCTCATTTATTTATTACAAGTGTCGTGGACGGGGGGGACTGCCATATTTGGTGGTAAATTTTTCAAAAATACGCACTAAATCCAATTTTAATCTCTTTACCTTCGCTATTTTTGCTTTCCACATATTGTTTCACCCAACCACGACTGTAACACAACAACGTTTGCTTGCTAAACATTTCAAAATCAACAAAAATACAGTATTATTAAATACCAAGTATTAATTTATTTCATAATTTATGCATGCTCTTCGGCAACCTCATTCCCAAGTCTTCGGGCTGAAGGGGGGGGGGGCAAACGAAGTTTTACCCTCATAAATAGGGGGGGTCAAAAAAGTTTTAACACAGAGAAAGGGGGGGGTCATAAAAGTTTTTGAACTTAAATACCATGTCTAGAGTTCTGATTTCTATAATCACAAATAGCAAAAAAGAAGAACTTCTGATTTCTATAATCACAAATAGCAAAAAAGAAGACTCTGAAAATGCTATTTCCAACAATCTAGAGACTCAAAATTTTCAAAATTTCCCTGCTTGGCGCCAACCATGGTAGCGCTTCGTGATCGTAGGAGTCAGGCCCACTAAGTTTAACAAGCTTTCTACCCCCTGAGTGACCCAGTTGTGGTATTTACATAAACATACCATGCAAGTACACTTAACTGATCAGATTTGGTCTATCAACGCACAATGTAACGCTGCATGTATATCCAAAAATCTGTTTCAGAAAATGCTCACATTTCAGTTCTAGGGGTGGAAAAATACAAAAACTTTTCTGGTGGAAAATACCCCCAGTAGTACATATGATACCACACCAAACCTTTTGTCACCAACAACCATCTGTCATCTCTCCACACTCAATATAGTATGGTCCCTTTTTGTAGATGCCCACCCCTCAGACAAGTTCTTAAAAAAACCCTGTGTTCAAATCATTTCGCTGTATAAAGACGGGTCATGGGTTAGGGTTATTTACAAATTTGCATTGCAAAGTAGTAACATCTAATATATATTTTTTAATCATATATGGTGAATCATATTCACCAGGGTAAAACATCATGAGCTAGATTAAACAGATTGTCCTAACATCTAACTTTACCTGCAACACACACCTGTTTCATTCCTGTTAATTTTTCAATCACACTGGGGGGGAAGGGGGCCAGAAAAGTTTCTACTTTTATGAGGGTGGAGGCACAAAAAGTTTGCCTTCGGTCTGGAGGGGAGGGTCAAAAAAGTATTCAATCCTTATTTTCCCCATTTCCCAACCCCTCCCCCCATAAATAATGACCACTCCCTAAAACCACCTGCATTGCATTGAGAGAATTAAATTCTCCAAGGGGTGTTTCAAAATTGGGAAATTTGGCATTGGAAGCAGAAAAAGTTGTTGGTATATCAAACTAGTCTGGTTAAGATGCCTTTTAAGGCCCATCTACACGATGCGATTTTTGCTGAAGAATTTCCTGAGGATGGCCCTGAATATAAAATAGTTTTTTCCAATAGCTTTCAGCAATTCAGGCTGGTAGTGTATTCAGCAAAGGCATTGCTTGCATGCAAAGTGAAACAAGGTCGGGGGTCAGGTTTTGTTTTAGCTGTCGATTTCTGTTTGATTTAGGGGCTGTTTATATTGGAGCCAGGCTGGCCCACTTGAGAAGACAGCCCGGTTAGCAAGATGTCGCCGTGTAGTATAATTTATAGTAAAAATTCCTGTGTGTTATAGGGACAACCAGGGTGAAGATTTCCCCATATAAACACTTGCAAATGGGATGGCCCGGTTGCTGGGATGAAACATTTTCGATAGTTTGAAGTCTTTTGTGCAACTATTTTTATAGTTCTTGACATTACATAGGTAAAAAAGACAAAACAAAAGGTTGCAATGTGCTTCAATAGCTGTAATGTTTACAAAATCGTGAGCCTTGAAGCAAAAAATATCAGTTTTGAAATTTGTTCTGGCAACACCAATTGAGTGCAATGTAAACAATTTCTAGCCCATAAAATCTCCTCATATAAACACAAGCAAAATCCATCCCGCTTACCGGGCTGTCTTGTTTAGCAGGCCAGCCTGGCTTCCATATTCAGCCCCATAGAAAATCTTTCTTAAAATATTTTAAAATCCCCCGACCTTTTTAACTCTCAATAGTTCATTACACATTTATTGGTTAGGGTTAGAGAAGGGGTTGGGGTCTGTTTATACAAATAGCAAATCAAACTCGGCATACTGTTCCAGTTGAGGGCCACGTCCATATTCATGTTGCCACACATAACGTCGAATCGACATTATCTCGTGACAATTTGACTATTTACATCCGAACAGACCGAAGTTTAAATATTTTTAAAATGTTTTAATGCTGTGCAACTTTTGCCAGTATTAAATAATTTTCAACTATTAATAGAGGCCAAAACAAAGGTTGAAGTATTGAAGCGACGTTTCGTGTCAAATACCGGTTAGTCATTAGGCAACATAAAAAAAAGTCGGTTTATAGCGTCCTCGCCCGCCCACAAAAAAGGCCCAGCTCAGGATTTTTTTTATTTTTTATTTAAAAAACCCCAACTTTTATTGATGAACGGGCTCCAATATATGTAGTATTTCTGTTGACTGTAGTCAATTGTGTTAATAAATTGCGAAATTGCGTGCGAAAATGACGGTGTGAATCATATTTTGAAGTATATAAAAAATATCTGTACTGCGCAAGAAAATCTAGTTTGTGACCTCAAACCAACTATTTTTTATGTGGCCTCAGTCAATAACTTTGAATTGAAGCCTCAGCATTTTAATGCATTACTGAGATAAATTGATTGATTATACACCATATTTCAGTTGCCATTTTGATTTTGAGCTCTTTTAGCGGTCAAAATACGACAAGGTAACGATCGACGTTATTTGACGTGGGTATACTGGTAGCCATTCACCCCTGCATGCATCATAAGAACATAATGTGTCCACACCCCTATATTAGTGTAAGATAAGGTTTTCACACCTCCCCTGTATGTAATTTAAGGTGTTCGCCCCTATATCTGTGTAAGATAAGGTTTTTACCCCTGCTCCTATTTGTAACATAAGGCGTTGACCCCTGTATCTGTGTAAGATAAGGTTTATTATAAACCCCTGCCCCTATCATGTGTAACATAATGTGTCCACACCCCTATATCAGTGTAAGCGTAAGGTTTTTACCCATGCCCCTATGTGTAAAATAAAGCGTTCACACCCTATATCACTGTAAGATAAGGTTTATACCCCTGCCCCTATGTGTAACATAAGGCATTCACCCCTATATCAGTGTATGATAAGGCTTTTACCCCTGTCCCTATATGTAACATAAGGTGTTCACCCCTATATTACTTTACTTTACTGTCGTTCCAATTGAAGTGTTCCTCAAATATTGATTCAATACATTACCTCAGGTTGACCAATTCGTTTCATCAAGTTCCTCGAGATATTCATACACTTCCTGTGAAAGAGCCAATTCCAAGTATTTGATCATTTCTGGTCACTTCCTTTCTATTTATGATTGGTTAGTTGCACAAACAACAAAGGTGATTGGTGCATTCAAACTATTCAACAGGATTTACAATTACACTAGGAAGTGTATGAATATTTCGAGGAATTTGATCAAATGAATTGGTCAGCCCGAGGTAATGTATTGAATCAATATTTGAGGAACACTTCAATTGGAACGACAGTAAATGAGCTTTATATCAGCGTCTTTTTTTTATATCAGTGTAAGATAAGGTTTATACCCCTGCCCCTATGTATAACATAAGGTGTTCACCCCTATATCAACGTAAGATCAGGTTTATACCCCTGTTCTTATGTATAACATAAAGGGTCCACCCCTATACAGGGTCTGAAAGTTGCAGCATCCCGATATCCAAGGGATACCAAAAATTTGGTTTTAGATACCAAACTGCGAATGACTTGTATTCAGACTGGATACTAAGAAAATATGAAATATTAATAAACACCTTTGGTGGGCTCTTGATAGCTTTTGAATACTATGAGTTTGCCACATCTTTGAGGACTAGCATATAGAAGTGTGTTGAAGGATTATGTGCATTTTAGTGTATTAATTATTTAGTTGTTGACTGTCGAGTGGACAAGGTTCCTGGCGCTGAGGACAAGGTTCCTGGCGGTGAGGACAACGTCTCTGGAGATGAGAACAAGGTTTCCTGGCGCTGAGGACAACCTTCCTGGCGGTGAGCACAAGCTTCCTCACGCTGAGGACAAGGTTCCTGGCGGTGAGAACAAGGTGCCTGGCGCTGAGAACAAGGTTCCTGGCGCTGAGGACAAGGTCCCCGGCGCTGAGAACAAGGTTCCTGATGCTGAGGACAAGGTTTCTGATGCTGAGGACAAGGCCCCTGGCGCTGAGGACAAGGTTCCTGGCGCTGAGGACAAGGTTCCTGGCGCTGAGAACAAGGTTCCTGATGCTAAGGTCAAGGTTCCTGACGCTGGGGACAATGTTCCTGACGCTGAGAACAAGGTTCCTGACGCTGACAACAAGGTTCCTGACGCTGAGAATAAGGTTCCTGACGCTGAGGGCAAGGTTCCTTCCGTTGAGGACAAGGTTCCTGGCGCTGAGGACAAGGTTCCTGGCGGTGAGGACAAGGTTCCTGGCGCTGAGGACAAGGTTCCTGACGCTGAGGACAAGGTTTCTGACGCGGAGGAGAAGGTTCCTGACGCCGAGGACAAGGTTCCTGACGGTCAGAACAAGGTTCCTGACGCTGAGGTCAAGGTTCCTGACGCTGAGGACAAGGTTCCTGACGCTGAGGACAAGGTTCCTGGCCCTGAGGTCAAGGTTCCTCACGCTGAGGTCAAGGTTCCTCACGCTGAGGACAAGTTTCATGGCGGTGAGGACAAGGTTCCTGGCGGTGAGGACAAGGTTCCTGGCGGGGAGGAAAAGGTTGCTGGCGGTGAGGACAAGGTTCCTGGCGGACAGAACAAGGTTCCTGACGCTGAGGTCAAGGTTCCTGACGCTGAGGACAAGGTTCCTGACGCTGAGGACAAGGTTCTTGGCGCTGAGGTCAAGGTTCCTGACGCTGAGGTCAAGGTTCCTGACGCTCAGGACAAGTTTCCTGGCGGCGAGGACAAGGTTCCTGGCGGTGAGGACAAGGTTCCTGGCGGTGAGGACAAGGTTGCTGGCGGTGACGACAAGGTTCCTGGCGGTGAGGACAACGTCCCTGGCGCTGAGGACAAGGTTCCTGGCGCTGAAGACAAGGTTCCTGACGCCGTGGACAAGGTTCCTGACGCTGAGGACAAGGCTCCTGACGCCGACGACAAGGTTCCTGACGCCGAGGACAAGGTTCCTGACGCTGAGGTGAAGGTTCCTGACGCTGAGGACAAGGTTCCTGGCGGTGAGGACAACGTCTCTGGCGCTGAGAACAAGGTTCCTGACGCTGAGGACAAGGTTCCTGACGCTGAGGACAAGGTTCCTGACGCTGAGGACAAGGTTCGTGACGCTGAGGACAAGGCTCCTGGCGCTGAGGACAAGGTTTCTGGCGCTGAGGACAAGGTTCCTGGCGGTGAGGACAACGTCTCTGGCGCTGTGAACAAGATTCCTGGCGCTGAGGACAAGGTTCCTGACGCTGAGGACAAGGTTCCTGACGCTGAGGACAAGGTTCCTGACGCTGAGGACAAGGTTGCTGGCGGTGAGGACAAGGTTCCTGGCGGT